GGAAATTACCCCATATGTAATTAAAGTAATAATTGTTGCTAATTGTGGGGGCTACATACGCACGAGGTGACGAGAGTCCGTGCGTAGCTACTATTAATGATAAAGTCCAGGTAGTTTAGGACTCAAAGTATATATTACTTGTGTAAATTATATTCTTTGTTTAATTAATATTAATTGATATATATATATATATATATATATATGATGTGAATTGTTAGATAAAAATATTAAAGGATGGGAATCTCATGTGCTTGATCTTCTGTTTAAATTAATTAATTGTTAAGAGAAATTATTCTTCCTCCCGGATTTATCTTATAATAAATATACTCTCCTTCCGGAGGTACATAAGAAAATGTCCTCCTTTCTTGTAGAGCGGGCCGAACGCCTCGGTAGGATAGATGCATCTATGGATCGCGCCGGACGTCCCTCGACAGTGTACACGACACTCTAGATCGGTCCGTACGACCTCGGCAGAAATCGTGCCTAATAATAATAATTACACGATATTTGATAGTTTATTGCCGCTTGTGAAACTAATTGATGAATTGAAAATCTTTGGAATTTAAAGAATTATTATCTCTGTTTGTTAAAGAATTATTGTTATTCCTGTAAATGAGGCAAATTGATAAATTAAAAATTTATTGAAATTGAAGGAATTTAATTAATGTATTGAGAATTGTTGCATTTGAAGTAATTTAATTGTTTCTGCTGATTAAATAAAATTATTGTTGACTTTGTGAATCGCAACTTCTCAAAATGACTAATTCGTCATATTTACTTACCATGCATGCATTCAAAGTAAAGAAAAACGTACAATGCCGTGATAAGTACATAGGCGGCTCAATGGTGTTGGAGGCTTAAAGACAAGCTGTAATAAGTTAGTTTAAACTTGTATAATAAGTGAGTTTATTCTTTTCACTTTATGAGATGCAATTTAATCTTGGCGTTATAACCAAAGTACAATAAATAGTTAAATTACATATAAGAGAGTAGCTTTTGGGGCCTCTAATTTTGTGAGGCCTAAAGCAGCTGCTTTAGTGGCCTGGGGGTTAAGCAGCCTCTGAATAAGTATAATCTACGTGAATAGAAGTATGCAGTGGCAAATACATGAATTTTCATAAGCTGTATTAATATTTAAAAAACTGAACAAATAAATAAATCATTGGAATGAATCATAAGGCACAAGCGACTCTAAACTAGTTGTAGACATGTTGAATAGGAAAGACAAAATACCTTGGCATCTGGATAATATCATTAAGGAGATTCTGTGGATTAATTATAACATGATGAGATTGTCCAACATTGTTATAGGGAGGCAAATTAAGTTACCGATATTTTAGCCAAATGGAATCACACTATACATAATAGTTTGATTCCAAGTGAATTGCCAAGGAAAGCTATTGGTTTTTATATGTCGGACAAAATAAAACAACAACAACNAAACAATAACAACCAAGTATAATTTCACTATTGGGATCTGGGGAGGGTAGTGTGTACGCAGACTTTACCCTTACCCTGGGGTAGAGAGGCTGTTTCCGATAGACCATCAGCTTTCTTCCTCCAAGAACTCCCCACTTTGCTCTTGAGGTGACTCAAACTCACAACTTCTTAATTAGAAGTGGAGGGTGTTAACCACTAGAGCAACCTTTTGATCGGACAAAATGCAAATGCCAAATTGTAGACATAAGATAGTTAAGAACTCTTTTGTGATCCATAATACCTCTGTGGGGTCAGCCTCATTAAATAAAAGAGAAAGAAAAAAAGCTAAAGAAAATAAACAAACTCACAATTTGGTTACAACAAGTTACAGGAAGTAACTTGGGCGGTGGAACAAGTTGTTAAACAATTTGCAAGATTGCAAATTGGCAAATAGGCGACATAGCCAATTTTGATTGGTTTTAGAGAGAATTCATTCAACTATAAATAGGGACGATGTTTCCTCATTTCAAACACACCAAAATCAGAGAGCGCAATAGAACATAAAGAGAGTAATCAACATATTGTAGTTTGTGAGATAAATAGAGAGTGGGAGTAATATCATGGCGAGGTATCAAAAATAAAGAGTGTTATTTGTTTCGAAGTTGTAGTAGTCTCTTGACACTACCAAGTTATAATATTATAGTGATATTATAGTGCTCTGCTTGGGTATTGTATTTCACCCAGTTAAAAGATTTGGTATCGTTTACTCTCTTTTGATATTGTTATTTACTATGAATATTATTCCTGGGCGGGATTATTTTTTCCCAACAATGTGGTATCAGAGCCATGGCGAGTAATAGTCCGCTGTCTTTTCAATACCCTCGTCTCATAAAAGATAATTATGAGAAATGGTATCTACGTATGAAAGTCATTCTTGGCTCTTAGGATGTGTGGGAAATCGTAGACAGAGGGTATGCAAAATACGATAATGAGGAAGCTCTTGCTCAAAATGAAAAAGAGTTCTTGGCAAAGACGAGGAACAAGGATCAACAAGCCCTCATGCTCATCCATCAATGTTTGGAAGATGCAATGTTTGAGAAGGTGACAGATGCTACTACCACAAAGGAAGCTTGGGAGATTTTACAAAATTCTCTCGAAGGAGTTGACAAGGTGAGGAAGGTAAAACTTCAAACTCTAAGAGCTGATTTTGAAGTTTTAAAAATAAAATAATCTGAATGCATTTCAAATTATTGTTCAAAAGTGAACACTCTTATAAATCAATTAAGAAGACACGGGAAGGACATAGAAGATGTCTGTGTGGTAGAAAAGATCCTACGCACTTTAACACCTAAATTTAATTTTGTAGTGTGTGCTATTGAGGAGTCTAGAGATTTAGACTCAATGACGGTGGAGAAATTGGAGGGTTCTTTACAGACCCATGAAGAAAAGATCAAGAGGAGACAAGAGTGCTACTAGAGCAACTTCTTAAAACTCAGGCATCCTTTAAGGACTATGAAGGTGAAAAGTGTTATCGAGGAAATGAACGAGGACGAGGCCGTAGTGGTCATGGAAGAGGAAGAAGTACTGGTAAAAACTTCAACAATGAAGTTAAAATCCACCAAATATTCATAGGTCGTGGTCGTGGACAAATCGGAAGAAGAGGACGCGGCTACTATCAAGAAAATAATGGACAAAAGGTATGACAAATTAAAATTGAGTGTTATAATTGTCATTAATTTGGCCATTACTATTGGGAATGTCGTAGCAACATTGAAGAGAAAGCTAGCCTTGTTGAGAACAATAAAGAAGAAGATGAGTCAACATTATTGTTGGCACTCAAGGAAGAAGATCGGGAAGATTGTGGCTCGTGGTATTTGGATAATGGAGCAAGCAATCATATGTATGGATGCAAAGACAAGTTTGTGAAAATCAATAAGATGGTGAGAGGTAATATGCCCTTTGGAGATACCTCAAAGATTCAAATTGAAGGGATAGGTACGATTCTAATCTCCTGTAAAGATGGTGACCACAAGTTAATTCAAGATGTTTATTATATTTCAAATTTAAAAAGTAATATTTTGAGTTTGGGACAACTTCTTGAAAAGGGATATGATATCAACATGAAAAATATGCATCTTTGGTTTAGAGATTCAAGTGGAATTCTAATTGCTAAAGTGCATATGGCAAAGAACCGATTATTTCTCTGAATCTTAAAACAACTGATGCAAAGTGTTTGAAGGCTAATGTGCAAGATGAATCAAGGTGTTGGCACATGCAATTTGGGCACATTAATTTTGAAGCCCTCAAATCAATGGGAGAAAAGAACATAGTGCGTGGGATACCATCAATCAACCATTCAAATCAATCGTGTGAAGCTTGTCTTCTTGGAAAACATGCAATGAGGAGTTTTCCAAAGGAATCCATTTCCAGATCAACCATGCCGCTCCATCTTGTTCATACTGATATGTGCGGACCAATCAATCTACCTTCCTTTAGTAAAAGTAAATACTTTCTGCTTTTCATTGATGACTTTAGCGGAAAGACTTGGGTTTATTTCTTGAACCAAAAGTCTGAAGCTTTTGCTGCTTTAAAATTTTCAAAGTACTTGTGGAAAAGGGAGTGGCTATAAAATAAAAGCTTTAAGGTTCAATAGAAGAGGCGAATTCACTTCAAAAGAATTTAATGACTTTTTTTCAGTCTCATGGAATTAGTCGCCCTCTAACGATACCTTATTCACCCCAACAAAATAGAGTTACAGAGAGAAAGAATCAAACAATTTTTAATATGACTGGATGCATGTTAAAAGCTAAAAGTATGCCCAAGGAATTTTAGGCAGAAGCTATTTCTTGTGTAGTTTATTTGAACAACAGGTCTCCAACAAGAAATGGTAGAGATCAAACTCCTCAAGAAGCACGGAGTGGATGAAAGTCAAGTGTCAAGCACTTGAGAATCTTTGGGAGCATAACATATGCCCATGTGCAACAACAAGGAAGAGCGAAGCTTGACGATCGAAGTGTCAAGCATGTGTTTGTTGGCTATGATACGAGTTCAAAAGGCTACAAGCTATACAACTCAAGCAGTGGCAAGGTAGTAGTGAGTCGTGATATTGAATTTAATAAAGAATTGGCATGAAATTGGGAGGCTCAGGAAGAAACTTCATTTGATTTTATTTCACATTTTAGTGATGAAGAAGAACCAGAGACCGTGGAACCTATGCAAGCTGCTACTCCACCTCCTTCACCAACTAATGTTGCATCTCCTTCTTCTCAAGAAAGTTCAAATGAACACACGTAGAGGATGAGGAGTATTCGAGAGCTCTATGATGGCACAAAAAAAGTTATTAATTTTGATTTTTTGTATTGTCTCTTTGTTGATAGTGAACCAATAAACTTTGATGAATTTATTACAGACAAAAGGTGGAGACAAGCAATGGAGGAGGAGATCGATTCAATAGAAAAGAACAACACTTGGGAGTTAACAACTCTTCCCAAAGGTAATCGAGCAATTGGAGTGAAATGGGTATACATGACAAAGAAGAATGCTGATGGAGATATGGAGAGATACAAAGCACAACTTGTGACTAAAGGCTACAAGGAAAGGCAGTGTATTTCCGATAAGAAAGTAGAGCTCAAATATGTGAAGTCTCATGATCAAGCTGCGGATATTTTTACAAAGCCTCTCAAGTTTGAAGATTTTTAGAGATTGAGATCAAGATTTGAAATGAAAAAAAAAATTAAAATTAAGGGAGAGATTTGTGGGGTTAGCCTCATCAAATAAAAGAGAGTGGGTAGTCTCATAACACTACCAAGTTATAATATTATAGTGATATTATATTACTTCGCTTGGGTATTATATTTTATCCCGTTAAAAAATTTGGTATCGTTGTTACTCGCTTGTGATATTGTTATTTACCGCGAATATTATTCTTGGAAGAGATATTATTTTTCCCAATAACCTCATCAAAGTACGTAGTTGCTGCCAAAGTTTTGTAGTTTGCAGGAGTTTTATATGCGACTATTATATCTTTGCTGTAATTTTTTTTTTTTGTCTTTGAGAGAGGAGTCTTTTTGTAGATTTGATGCCGGGTACATGTGGTAGTAGACTTGGTTCTTCCCATGTACCTAGTAAATAAAGTTGTGTACGTCTTTGATGGAGGTATTGGCATTAAGTCCTCCTCCACTGAGTTTTTGATTAATACACATGTTTGGGGTCTATACCAAACTGTAACGATCCGATCAATTTATTTTGTTTATTTAAACCCCGTTTTCTTATTTGATGCTTACCATATATGTATTTGTGGTTTGTNCCAAACTGTAACAATACGACCAATTTGTTTTGTTTATTTGAATCCCGTTTTCTTATTTGATTCTTACCATATATGTATTTGTGGTTTGTGACTTTCGAAATTGGTTAGTTGGCTTCGTGAAGGTTTGAGAATTTTTATCTTTAGAATCTTAAGTTATAAGAGTTGACCAAGGTTTGACTTTTGAGCACACGACCTCGGATTGATGACTTGGTGTTATAAGTTATAAGTTATAAGTTATAAATTATAAGAGTTGACCATTTATAAGTTATAAGTTATAAGAGTTGACCAGTTCTTACCACTTGCGTAGTTTGCTTACAACAACAGTTGCCAGTCAAGCATTCAAATGGCTCCATATGAGGCCCTGTATGGTAGGCGGTGCCGGTCCCCAGCGGGTTGGTTCGAACCGGGCGAGGCTAGGCTATTGAGTACAGACTTGGTTCAGGATGCCTTGGAAAAGGTTAAGTTGATTCAAGATTGACTTCGTACAGCCCAATCTAGACAGAAGAGTTATGCGAATCGGAAGGTTCATGATGTTGCATTCATGGTTAGTGAGCGGGTATTGCTCCAAGTTTCGCCTATGAAGGGTGTGATGAGGTTCGGGAAGAAGGGCAATTTGAGTCATAGGTATATTGGGCCTTTTGAGATTCTTGAGAGATTTGGAGATGTGGCTTATAAACTTGCACTACCACCTAGTCTCTCTGCGGTTCATCCGGTATTCCATGTTTCCATGCTTCGGAAATATCAAAGCGATCCGTCTCATGTGTTAAACTTCAATTCGGTTCAGTTGGACAAGGATCTATCTTATGTTGAGGAACCAATGGCTATTTTGGATAGGCATGTTTGAAAGCTGGGGTCAAAGAACATTGCTTCCGTGAAGGTTCAGTGGAGGGGTCATCCGGTCGAGGAGGCGACTTGGGAGACCGAGCATGATATGCGCAGCTGTTATCCACACTTATTCACCAGCTTAGGTACTTTTTCTAACTCCGTTCGAGGATGAACGTTTGTTTTAGAGGTGGAGACTGTGATAACCTAAAATGTCATCTTTAAATTTAATAATTAATTTTGTATTCTAAGACCTCGAAAAGTACTATTTATCATTCCTCGACTTGTGTGCGCAGCCCGTAAAATTTTTCAGAAAGTTTTCAGGTGAAAAATGAATTAAAATGTGAATTAGAGCTTTAAAACTCAACTGAGTTGACTTTGGTCAACATTTTGAGCAAATGGACTCGGATCAGTATTTTGACAGTTCTGGTAGGCCCGTATCGTGATTTGGGACTTAGGCATATGCCCGAAATCAAATTCCGAGGTCCCTAGCCCGAGATATGAAATTTTGATAAAAAATTAAAAGTTTAAGTTCAAATATTGACCAGATGTCAAATTATGTGCAAACGACCCCGGAATAGAATTTTGATGATTTCAACAGCTCCGTATGGTGATTTTGGACTTAGGAGCATGATTGAAATTTTATTTGGAAGTCTGTAGTGGAATTAGGCTTGAAATGCCAAAAGTTAAATTTTTGGAAAGTTTGACCGGGGGGTTGACTTTTTAATATCGAGGTCGGAATCTGATTCTGGAAATTGGAATAGGTCTGTTATGTCATTTATGACTTGTGTGCAAAATTTGAAGTCATTCCGAATTGATTTGATGTGTTTCGGCACAAGATATAGAATTTAAAAGTTCAAAGTTCATAGATTTTGATTTGAGGTGCGATTCGTCGTTTTGATGTTGTTTGATGTAGTTTGAAGCCTCGACTAAGTTCGTATTGTATTTTGGGACATGTTGGAATAATTGGTTAAGGTCACGAGGGTCTCGGGTGGATTTCGGAAGGTAAACGGAATAAATTTCGGACAAAGAGGGTTGCTAGAAATTTGCAAAACAAGAAAGTTGTAGTCATTTGATTATAGTTTCCAGAAAGTTAAACCATTTATTATTTGGACATTTGTACAGAAAGTTATGATGGATTGAATGAAGGCTGGTAGAGCAGTTTTGCCAGGAATTCTGATACGTGGAGCCGATTTTGGAAGCTTATATCTCGCAATTCATAAAGAACCGAAAAATTTGCAAAACATGAAAGTTGTAGTCGTTTGATTCTAGTTTCCAGAAAGTTAAACTATTTATCATTTGAATATTTGTACATAAAGTTATGATCGATTGAAGGAAGGCTGGTAGAGCAGTTTCTGGTGGACTTTTAGTGACTGAAAATGGACTTTTAGTGACGGAAAATGGACTTTTAGTGACGG